GCCTGCAGCCCCCTCCCCCGACACCTGCATGGCCAGCAACCCCGCCCGGCGCCTTAGAGGAGACCCGTGTCAGTTCACCGCCCTTCCTGCAGCTCCTGAGCGCTGGGCAAAAGGGAAACAGAGAAAGGGCACCAGGACAGGCATCGCGATCCCGCAAGAACTGAGGAAGCTTCCCGACCCCTGACTTGCTCTCAGGGGGAGGAGGTGGTTCTGGTGGAAATAAGAAGTGTAAGAAGCACTAGATGCAAAAAACTGGGGCAAGGAACACGTGGAAGGGAAGCAAAGGTGAGCCGGTGGTAGGGTCGTCTCCAGAAGGCTTCGAGGCCGGCTCGAAAGCATCAGAGCTCACTTATCCGCTTGGTGTGAACTTAGCTTTGCTCAGCAAAAGCAGAGGAGCGCCCTGGGAGGTTGGGTGGTGCACAGGGCTGTGGGCAGACGCGCGCCCTCCCACCTGTGCCATAACGGGTCACCAGGGGAATCCAGGCGTATCCTCTCTAAAGTCCCAGCTAAGACCCTAAAGCCCAGCCCGGCCGTAGAGGGCAGGGTGTTTAGCGAGCTCCAAACGTTCATTTGTTCGTGGATGCTCTTATCCCAATTAAGTCATTCAAAACTTTTGAAGTTCATGAGTCATTTGCTTCAAATATCTTTAAATTAAGGACGGATTCACTTCCCTGGTAGCAAATACCCAGCAAGTTAATTAAAAGGGGCTCAGTATTTAAACCGCCATCAAGCCTTAAAGAGGAGAGGAGCTGTCACAGCTGCTCCTAACTCCCTTCCATCTCTATCCCAGAATTTTGAAAGTATTTCCCCACATGAGACGTGCTCCCAAGGCTGCTGTGCTGCTCAGCTCAGCTGACCATCGGTGTGGGAGAAGAGGACACCAGCCTGTCCCTCCTGCTTGAGGTGGGACACACCTAAAGGACACTGAAGGCCCCGGTGACAAAGACAAAGCAACTTGGAAATCATTCTTGGAAACGAACTGAGTGCATCCCAGTGTAAAAATTACCAGGCAGGATGGAGATGACCTCGGAGCCGTCCTCGAGCTGCTGGGTGTCACGAATACACGTTTGATCCAAATGGGAACCCACTCTGAATGACCATTAACAGAGACCCTACAGGGCTTCGTAGCCCCTCCTCAGTGGTGTACCTTCGAAAGCTAGGAACATGGACAGTTGAGGAAAGCATCAGAGGTACCTGAGCAGGCTGCAGAATCTCAGGGTCCAGGGGCAAGAGGGAAAGTCTAAGAACATAGGGTCCCACCAATCTTTACTGAGCACTAGCTGTATGCCACGCACCCACAGCCTAGGAGATCCGCAGTGGGCAAACACAACAACCGGAATCAGCTGCCTTGAATTCCCCACGGCTCCCTTTACGAGTTTTAAGATTAAAGCCCAGGAAATGACTTTGTGTTTTTCTCCCAGGAGACTTTGTGATTCCACACTCAGAACATGACCAGCAAGAGAGCTGTCACAGGAAGATGGTACTTCACTGTGGGGAGTCCTCTTCTCTCGACCTCGAGTGAACTCCTGTCCCATCTGACACTCACCCTCTGCCAGCGCCATGCGAGGCTGGAGCTCAATGCCTCAGTGAACCTGAGCCAGGTGATTTTCCATCCCAAGTAGTTCCTAGCCAGTGCCACCTATGCCTCCGCAAAGAGCACCAAGGTCAGGGATGAGGATGTGGGACGTCATCAGATGATCTCATCAAATGACCTCATCAAATGACCCCATGATGGATTAGGAAATGTAGCAGCTGCTAGTGGTAGCAAATCATCACAAGGACAACAGTCATTATTATCATCACTATCACCGTCACCACCAGCATCACCAGCATCACCAGCATCACCA